CTTGCCCTATTGAGATTCCTTATTACCATCCATTATTCTTGCTAATAATCTTTTGTCATGCCCTATGACCCTGAACTTGCCCCTTTGATGGTCCACATTGCCACTCTGTGTTGTTGATAATTATTCTTTCCATTACCCTGGATTGCTGCCCTGTGACTGCTGCCCTGTGATCTTGTTATCTGTCCTTGTTGTATCTGGATTGCTGTCTTATGGCCCTGGACTTAATTTTTGCTGTACCAAATCACTGCTTGTCTCTTGCTATGCCCCAGATTTCTACCTCTAGGCTTATCCTTTTTTTGATGCATCCTGTTTCTTTTCCATGATTCTACTGATCACTGTCTGACTGTACCATACTGTCACATACCTTGGTTGGAAGCTGAAGTCATGAGAGGGCTTCACCTTGTGGCTCTGGTCCAAGTACCCCTGAGTGTGGAACAGGGGCACAGGGCAAAAAGAAGCATGGGTGCCGGTAATCAGGTAGCAGGCAGTGATGGCCTCTACACAGCAGTTAGCATGCAGGTAGACCAGAAGAGACCAAAGTATGGCACCCCAGAAATGGACCTTGGACCTGCAAGACACACACAGGTAGAAGGTCGATGTAGGTACCCATTCGAGTCAGAGACTTGGCTAGGTGGCAAGCCACGGTCAGTACAGATGGACAGTAAGAGTGTAGTCAGTAGCCAAGCCAGAGTAATACACGAAAAGCAGGAAAAGATAGTCAGTCAGCAGGCCAAGGACATTACTAGGAAGACAGCAGACCATGGTCAGAGGCAAGCTGGGATCAGAGTCCAGAATCCACAAAGCAAGGTCAGGAGCAGGTCAGGTCAGCAACGGGAGATCAAATAGCAAGAGCAGGAACACAGGTCATGGGAAGCTGAAGAACATCCAGCAATGAGCACATATTAAATAGGCATCTTGGCACCATTCCTGGGATTGGATGTGCACTGGCATGTGCCCATGTGTGAGGACGTGTATGCCAATGCACGATAGCAAACCACAGATGCGCTGATGTGTCAGTGCATGTTGGTTACTGGTCCGTGCTCTTCTGTGTCCTGGAATATGTGCACAAGCATTGACTGCACAAGAATGATCATTAGCTGCACAAAAATGAGCATTAGCTGTATGAATATTGGTCCCTTGGAAACAGCAGGGTGAGAGCACATGAGATGACAAATGAAAGCCTACACACTATGGAGCTGACTTGTCCCACCGGTAAGAACCCATGGATTATTTGGTACAAAGAAGAGGTGGCCACTCTGGGGGAGGATGCCACAATTGAAAGGAAAATAAGTGTGATTCAAAAGGACTAAAAGAAACAGCATGCGTGGAAAGCTGCATCTGCTCCTGTGTCAGCTCCTGGGACAGGGAGGCCTTAAGGAAGTCTGGTACTTTAAACCCTTCAAGAAAAATATGGAAAGATGTGAAAAGGTTCTGCAAGCACTTCAAGCACCAGTATTAGTTGCTGCTGAGGTCTACCAAATACTGGACCCTGTGAAAAAGCTTAATGATAACAATATCAAAAGGGCAGTTCTAGATCACTTATGCTTCCACACTGCCAAATGAGCCACACACCAACACCACCCCCTCAGCATTTGCTTCCCCAGTGTAGCCTCAGAGCCTAACAAAAAAAGATGCTATTTGGTTCTGGGAAAATTGGCCACTGTTAGGTTAGTTAGACACTGGAGTGGAAGAACATGCCTAGTACCTTAAAGCAAGTACACTGTGGAACCTTTACCAAACTCCTGAGAACTTACCAACCCCCTTATTCTGATGTGGACACACCTCCTTGGGTCTTTGTCTTACAATCAATAATGGTTCATAAGTTGGTGACCTGGGAGAAACATTGAAAGAGGTTATCAGAGACAAACAAGGGTCAATGGAATTTGGGTCCACAAAACCCTCAAACATGACCCACAAATTGTGTATCTGTGGACAATTCAGCCCGGTCCAGGTGTGTAATACAGTTAGACAAGGTTGCCCAGCACTTCATCCCTCTGGCTTCCATTGACCTGGCCTATGAGCTGGGGTATAAACGCTTCAGTGTGGGAGTGATGTGAGGACTGCTGGTTTGTGTACTTTTCAAGAATGATATGCATGATTTCAGGTGTCACTTTGTTGGTAACATACTGTCACTTTGTTGGTAAACATACTGTTAGACAGGTTAATTTGGTTTTTGGCAGGCTGGCTGGCAAGTTGAGCTGGGAACTTCTCCCTTTTGTTGTTTGACATGCGTCCCCCGTTCATGTGTTCCTTGCTGTGAAGGCCAGTTATAGACTGGGGCAGTGCCCATTTTTTGTACTATTGAATTGTTGGTGAGGGGGCGCACTGGACACCCTAGCTGCCATCATGCTACATGCTGGGTGTCCGGTGCACTCCTGTACCTTTAAGGAGGGGTAGACTACCTCAGGTTCACCTGCCCTTGGGCTATCCATTAAATACATGTGCCTCTACTATGGGGTTCTCAAAATTTGCAGAGTTAGGACTACAGAATATCGGGGTGCCGTGACGAGGCTCTGTAGCTTACGCATGTATTTGCAAATGTGTGCTAACTAAAGCCCTGTTTTAATGTATACTGTTAAACAGGTTAACTCAGTTTGTTTGCAAGCTGGCTGGCAAGTTGAGCTGGGAACGTTTCTCTTTTGTTGTTTGACATGCGTCACCCATCCATGTGTTCCTAGCTGTGAAGGCCAGTTACAGACTGGGGCAGTAGCCATCTTTGTAAAGAAGTTAATGGGCCCTGCTCCTGCAGTAAACAGGCACTCCCCTACAATGCTTTTTCTATAATTCTCCTAATTACTGGAAAAAGCCTGCATTTTTGTGTACAGCAGCAGACACAGCACACTCAGTAGGAAGCCCTGTCTGCATCAGAATCCAAACTATAAAGGAGCAGTAAAATACAAAACAAACCGCTGTGTGTCAGCGAAAGAGAAACCTTTTATAATTTAAACATTCAATAGAGACACATAGAATTTAATGTACAAAGCTTTATAGTAGCAGAACAAGAAGATTCACTGATAATAATTTCTTATGCCAGTTTAAGGGAAATGGATTTTTTTTTTAAAAGATGCATGAACCACTTTCTACTTTGGTTGTTAATATAAATTGAAAGTCTGGAAATTTTGCTGACCACAGCCTTTGAAGCAATATATATTTAAATTGGAAAAACCAAGGAGCAGCAAATGAGATCCAAAGAATTAACAGAAGAATAACACAAATGTATAATTTTATTTTTGACTATAGTAAAAATATATATGAAGTCAGCCAGAAAAACAAATAGGTATCACATAAAAAAAAAATCACAAGGCTCAGCACTGCTACCCAGCATGAAGATCAAATGGAAACCTGCATCTAGCATTGTGATGAAAGCAAATAACTCAGGTTTTTACATTTGCAAAGTACATTAAAACCCCCATGCCATGATCAGGCCACCCCTGAAGTGTGTATACAACTTGGTCTATGAGAATTCTTTTATTAGCCTGTATTAAAAAAAACCTACTTTGGTCATGGAATATCTGATGTTACTCTAGACCTCCTAAGTGGGTGCTGCTAGATAGATTAGCAGATTGCATGGCCGGATCTAGGGGGGTGCCAGGGTGGGCTATGCCCCCCAGATTTAAGTTATGCCCCCCAAAGTCAACCCTAACCTGCCACTGTACTCCCTTAACTTGCCAATATACTACCCTAACCTGCCATTGTGCTACCCTAAATTGACATAATATCGCCCTAATCTGATACTTTACCACTCTAGTTTGACACTATACTGCCCTAGCCTGACACTATAATTTCCTTGACTGACACTATACTGATCTCAGGTATGCATTGTATGGGGACGAGGTACTCTGATGCCTGTGCCCAGGCTGTGTGTGGTGTAGGGATGGGAGAAGGAGCTGTGCCCCTGTCCTCTGCCCTGCCACAAATGACCTCTGTCCTCTGCTCTGCTGACCTCCCATCCTCTGCCCCCCTGACATTTTTTACTGCACCCCCATATCGGACAGGCTAGATCTGGCCCTGGCAGATTGGGATATTCACTCAGATCAATCAATAGATTCATTTAATTGGTAAATATTTTATTATGCAGATATAAGCGATCATTGTAAATAAAATGGATGTCTACTTCCACAACAAATTGTATTCTATTAAATATATTTAACTGCTCCCGTGCCACCGTATAACAGAAATACTGCTACAGGACAGCACAAGTGTGCAAAACAGCACAGATCTCCCCCTGTCAGCTCCTGCACACTGCTTTGTATGGCTCTGCATAGCAGAGCCATACAAAGCAGTGTGCTTACAGTGGAAAAAACACACACAGCACACAGTGAAACAGCACACAGTTAACCCTTTGATTGCCCCACATGTTAACCTCTTCCTGCCCAGTACCATTAGTACAGAGTCGGTGCTTTTCATTAGCACTGATCACTGTATTGTTGTCACTGTGGATGTCAGTTACACCAAGTCAGTTCCCCCCAGTGTCAGAATGCCCACTGTATTCCCGCAGTCCTGCTATGTGTCGCTGATTGCCGCCATTACTAGTATAAAAAATAAAAATTTTAAATTCCAGTATATATACTGCCATTTGTAAACGCTATAATGTTCACGTAAACCAATTTAAACATATTGGAATTTTTTTTAGCAAAGACATGTAGCAGAATACAGTTTGACCAAAATTTATGGCGAAATTTGATTTTTTCATTTTTTTTTTTTACTGGACATGTTTAATAGCAAAAAGTAAAAAATATTGTTTTTTTTTTCTCAAAATTGTTGGCCTTTTTTTGTTTTTAGCGCAAAAAATAAATTCAGAGGCGATCAAATACCACCAAAATAAAGCTCTATTTGTGGGGAAAAAAAGACGTGAAATTCATTTGGATGCAGCGTTGCATGACCGCGCAATTGTCAGTTAGATAACGCAGCGCCGTATCACAAAAAATGGCCTGGTCAGGAAGGGAGACAAATCCTCTGGATGGCAAGTGGTTAAATGTGAAAGATGAGGAACAATCAGTTTATTAAGCCCCAACACTGAATCTTTATGAACTCAAGTGCTAACACCAATGATTTCATGGTTATGACAGGTAAGACTTGGTAACAGGGATGGACTGACCATTTGGAAACTCAGGCACTGCCCGAGGGCCCGGGGTCAGTAGGGGGCCCCATGAGATGCCCCTGGTACCTTTTTCATAGGCTTTTTTGAGTTTGGGCAAGGACACAGGGGCCCCATCATCCCCTATTGCCCAAGGGCCCCATGATTTGTCAGTCTGCCCCTGCTTGGTAAGCAGCTGCTCAAATCAGGGTGGGTCCCTGAATACAGTATTGATATAGTTTTTCTACATTGTGGATGTTCTTTGAAAGCACATTCAGCTATGCACTGAATATTTCATCAGTGCATCATGCAGCAGCATATAATAACTGCATGAGTGTAAAAATATGCACAACACCAAGATGTAGAAGGGAATGAAACACTCACATAAACCTTAGCCCTTACTCATGACAAAGAGTGTTCTGTGATAGGAGTGTGCCAAAAGTATCTGCTATTAAAAGCACCTAAAGCGGACCTTCACCTTCCCACGACACTAGGTATGCAGACTGCTTCTACAAACATTTCTGAAAGAATGGGTCGCTCTCAGGAGCTTAGTGAATTCAAGCGTGGTACTGTGATAGGTTGTCACCTGTGCAGTAAGTCCCTCCGTGAAATGTTCTTGCTACTAAATATTCCACGGTCAACTGTTATGGTATTATAACAAAGTGGAAGCAACTGGGAACAACAGCAACTCAGCCACGAAGTGGTAGGCCACGTAAAATGATAGAGCGGGGTCAGTGCATGCTGAAGCGCACAGTGACCGAAGTTGGCAATTGTCTGCAGGGTCAATAGCTAAAGACCTCCAAACTTCATGTGACCTTCAGATTAGCATAACAACAGTGCGTAGAGAGCTTCATGGAATGGGTTTCCATGGCCAAGCAGCTGCATCCAAGCCTTACATCACCAAGTGCAATGCAAAGCGTCAGATGCTGTGGTGTAAAGCACACCACCACTGGATTCTAGAGCAGTGGAGACGTGTTCTCTGGAGTGACAATCCCGCTTCTGTCTGGCAATCTGATAGATGTGTCTGGGTTTGGAGGTTGCCACGAGAACGGTATTTGCCTGACTGCAATGTGCCAAGTGTAAAGTTTGATGGAGGAGTATTTTGGTGTGGGCTTGATTTTCAAGGCTTGGGCTTGGGCTTGGGCTTGGCCACTTAGTTCCAATGAAAGGAACTCTTAAGGTATCAGCATGCCAAGACATTTTGGACAATTTCATGCTCCCAACTTTGTGGGAACAGTTTGGGGATGGCCCCTTCCTGTTCCAACATGACTGCGCACCAGTGCACATAGCAAGATCCATAAAGACATGGATGAGCGAGTCTGGGGTGGAGGAACCTGACTGGCCTGCACAGAGTCCTGACCTCAACCCAAAATAACACCTTTTGGTTGAATTAGAGCAGAGCTTGCAAACCAGTCCTTCCTGGCCGACATCAGTGCCTGACTTCACAAATGTGCTTCTGGAAGAATGGTCAAACATTCCCATAGACACACTCCTAAACCTTGTGGACAGCCTTCCAGAAGAGTTGAGACTGTTATAGCTGTAAAGTGTGGGCCAACTCAATATTGAACCCTATGGACTAAGACTGGAATGCCATTAAAATTCATGTGCATATAAAGGCAGGCATCCCAATACTTTTGTCAATATAGTGTGTGTGTGTGTGTGTATATATATATATATATATATGTGTGTGTGTGTGTGTGTGTGTGTGTGTGTGGTTTTTTTTTTTTTTTGGCAGAGATCCTAGAGAATAAACTGGCGATCATTGCAATTTTTTATGTCTGATGGTATTTGCACAGTGGTTTTTCAAACACAATTTTTGTTTAAAAAAGTACACTAAAAAAAACCCACAATACTGTATATAACCCAATTTGTGTTAACATATAGAAGATGATGTTGTGTAAAGTAAATAAATACCTAACATGTCAGTCTTTAAAATTGCGCACACTGGAATGGCGACAAACTGCGATACTTAAAAAAATCTCCATAGGCGACACTTTAAACATTTTTACAGGTTACCAGGTTAGAGTTACAGAGGAGGTCTAGCACTAGAAGTATTGCTCTTGCTATAAGGTTTGTGGTGATACCTCACATGTGTGGTGTGAACATATACTTTGTGCATACTTATGCATTCACTTCTACGGACAAACACAGAGGAATGAAGGAGCTTCAAACTATTTTGTTTTTTGTTTTTTTTTAAACTGTTCTTTTTTTTATCACTTTTATTCCTATCTCAGGAAATGTAAACATCCTTTGTGATAGAATTAAGGGATGACAGGTCCTCTTCATGGAGACATCTGGGTCCCACAAAACCTGAAATGTCTCCTCTACCTTTTGAAATCATCAGATCAAAAAAAACATGAATCTAATAAAAATTTTATTTAAAAAAATAGTTTGCATCCACCCTAGACTGGAAGTGATGTCATGACTTGCTCTGGTCCTCCTAGATCATAAAGGTGAGGAGAGACAATCTGGTCTCTCCTCACTTCTGTGGCCAGCCATGCAAACCATTTCTTGGGCTTGCCAGTGAGAAGTAGGTCACATATGCCATAACTGTATGGGAACATAAACAATAAAACCTGAACTGAGGGATTGTGAACATCCAATTGTCATCTAATGACTATGGTCAGTTGCATGAGATACCCTGAAAAAGAAGAGCTCATGATATGTATAATTTTCATAGACTCAAAAAAGTTTATCACCATGTAAAGACTAATTTCCTGCAGCTTCTTGTCCCATGCTAGTCTGTCTGTGTTTGGGTACATTGCTGCTGACTTTTGTGGCTGCTCCACTCAGTGTCGTGCTGCCCAGGCACTTGGCTTCTCCTGGCTCCATTAGACCACAATCTTCTACACTCTGTCATTATGGCCCCATCGCAGCCTTGTGGCATCTTCTTGCCAAGCAAAAACTTTTATGCCCACTCTTCCCTTGAGTCTTGATGGGTCCTCTCTTTCCAAGGCCCAGGGAAGATTTAAACCTTCCTGACCCTACACCCAAAAATTGTTCTGAATACCTCCTTAGCTACCCCTGCCTGTAACTGATCTGTGTTCTGAACCCTTTGACTCTTTTCTGAACTACTTTCTGACTGCCACCTGGACTGATCCTTTTGTCTGCTTACTGAACACATCTCTGTCTGTTGCCTGTACTGACCTCATTGCACGTCCCTCTGGTTATGTTCTGGCTAAAGCTCTGTCCTTGCTATCCTCTGTGGTTATCTGTATTCTCGTGAGTCAGAGACCTTTTGTCCCTCCTATTCTCTGCCGCTTGTGCTACCTGTCTGGAGAAAATATCATTATGTTATAGGTTCTAGGGGCCCAGTAGCCCTGCTTTTTGAAAGGAATGGAGGCTGCTGTAGGTGATTCTATGTTGACCAGCTGTATTCTCTGACCACTGGTATTGGGATGAGTATTACACAGTATAGCAAGAATCAATTATGGAAAGTAGATATGCAAAGCCAAATTGTTCACCATATAGGGATTTGTTTTCTGATGTAGGTGTTTCATAGTCTGCAACAGCTTGTATAGCCAACTGAAGACAGGTAATTCAACCACTACCATGTGTGATCTGATTATTTATGTGAGATTCTGGTTTATTTAGCTACACCTTTCTGTATTCTGCAGCATTCATTAAAATAATACCCTGTGATCTTGCCATTTAGATTTATATACACTAACAAACTGAAGCCAAACTTTAGCTCACACTTCAGTCACACAAGCAATTACAGCAAACAGTTTACTTTTCCTTTGGGATAAAGGTTTTACATGAAAAAAATTAAATAACAATTGACTATTGTAAGCAACTGCCTGGACTGCCTCACGCATGGCCATAGTGGGCAGCCGGGTCACCCTAAACGCTAGACCAATCTTCAGGGCAAGTGTTCAGCTTCGCCCTACTGCACTCTCCTATGTGAGGATGGTGGCCCAAGACTGGACCCTATCCACCCTCCTGAATGTGCTTGCCCAACCACCTCAGTCCCAAGGTTATCCACACACTGGCCCAGATTTACACAGGCAAGTGACTTCTAGTGTACCTCCCACAATTAGCTGTAGTTTGTAGACCAATTCACCCAGAGACCAAAGCTGTAGGTTAACTTCTTTACTGCTTCAATTTAAGTGGCAGCATAACAAATTTAGGTCCGAGACCCCAAAACAGTACTCAACGAATATATTGGAGGTAGCTGATCCCTGCCCATTGAAAAGACGCTCACTCCTCAGTTCAATTAAAGTGATTAGTCTACACTCTCTTCAGCTATTATCTGACATAGCTTCCTTCCCATAATGGAGGTAACCAAGGGGCAAACCGAGTCTCAACAGTCTTACCTCCAGCTCTGCAGTAGTATTTCCTCATCTCCCCAAGGATCTAGGGCACCCCTCATGACACCCTGCTCTCCCTATTTGCAAAAGGGCTTGCTCTGTTGAAAAACAACAGACTTACTGGCTGGATCACCAGATGAAAATTAAGGAAAGAAAGCATAAAAAAGAAAACTAATGCAGTTATTTGTTTTGAATTGGTAAGCTGCAATATAACAAATGTTTGCTTTTGGGTTTAATACTGCATTAATCAATTACTTAGTATGCAGCTTCTTTATCTTTTATTCCTTGTAAAAAGCATGTAGGGTGCACACCACTCAGAAGTGAGACCATAAAACTTCAATGCTGCTAAGTTCCTGGGTGCCTGCCTGGTCTGTAACTTAAGTAGATCATTGAGAAGAAGAAAGGTAGTGGAACTCTAGGATGACAAAAAGTAAACTTCTTTATTCCATAATGATCATAAAAAAAGACAAAAACAAAGCTCCACAAGACAGCCAGTTAACGCGTTTCGCCATACATAGCTTATAATAGCATAAACATAGCTTATGTCTAAGCACTGATGTGTGAAACACATTAACTGAGTGTCTTGTGGAGCTGTGTTTTTGTGTTTTTTTATGATCATGATGGAATAAAGACGTTTAATTTTTGCCTTCCTGGAGTGCAGCTACTTTTCTCCTTCTAAGAA